CTCTCACTCCAAGTGTTGTTATATTTCAACAAAGCTCAGAGCAACTGGTGGAGTTTGTTAAGACAAATATCACATTTTGTGTCACAACTGGAGGATTTACGCATCAAAAGCTTGTCTGGCTTCTCCCCACCTGCAGCCGTTTACCTGCTGCCAGGTATCACTTCCCATAAAATGTACCCACCACAGGTAAAGGATCACAGCCTTTGGAAATGCACAAAATGATTAATTTTTCCAGCTTCCCTTATCTCCCTGTGGACATCTACATACAAAAAATCCCCAACCCAAATATCTGCCTGCCCTCAGAATGACTCTGTGGGAAAAGGGAACAGGTCCCTGACCAAGCACGGGCGGTTCTGAACCACAGGGAGATCGTCCACACGTTTAATACATCACAAATCCATCCAACCACCAAGTGGGGCTGCGAGGGCTCCACGTGTGCCTTGCCAAATTCCCGTGTAATTTTCCATTCTTTCTTCTTAATCATTGCATAATCCAGGGAAGATTTGTACAGGAATATTAAAGGAAAAGTGGCTGGTGCAGAGAGAGGAAAACACCGGTGACGGTGCCAGCCTGACAGGGGATTTCCAGGCTTTGCTCTTGGAAAGGCCTGATAAGATGGATATATTTGTTTTAGCTTTCAGCAAGAAACCTTAAGGATTTGGATTACAAAATCCTTAAATAACATCACGAGAACTGAGTTCTGGACAAGGAGATAGGAGAAGTTAATGGTGTTAGCAGGCACTGACCTGGCTAATCCCATTGCTGACCTGTGTCTGGCTGGGCAAACGTGTTCCTGAAACCTGGATGTGCTTTACAGCACGTGGTCTTAGGGCAAGACAGTGCAATTCCAATTGTACCAAAATTTTGTGGATTTTGGTTTGGATCAGCTGGGACCAGATGTTCTCCTCTGGTCCTTCCACCTCCAGTGTCCTCTGTGCTTGGAACTGTGAAAAAATGTCACCAAAGCAGCTGCACTTGTGTTTTACCAACAAACCCAAAGCACAACTGATGGAATTCCCTCTTCTTTTCTGTTAGAAGAGATCTTAAAGACAATTTAGTTCCAAGCTGCTGCCATGGGCAGAGACACTTTCCACTAAACCAGGTTGCTCCAAACCCCATCCAACCTTGAGCACTTCAAGGGATGGGGGCAGCCAATCTGCCCAAAATGAAGGATCTGTTTTATTGAAAATGTGGATCAACTCAACCCTCCCACTGGACCAAATATAATCAAAGCAGGGATGTGTTTGGAGACATGAACACGAAAAAATTTGCTCCTTTAGATGCAGGCCCACCAGTGTAGGCAGTAGCTGTGCTTAGCTGCAATTAACTGATTTAGCATGGCTTGATCTCAGTGGAGACAAGCTGCTGAGGAAGCCCTTAAACTTAGCAAACAAACACCACTACAAACCTAAACTGACTGCAGCTGCAACCTCTCCTGAAAGCTGAACCTGTGGTTGCTGCACCCTGGCAACGTATTTTTGAGGCAACCACCCTTTTGGTGCAGTTTCCCATCTGTTTAGGCAACAAGTACATCAGTTGCTGCTATCGGTTTTTCAGGACTGAATTTCAATAAAAATTGCACGTCTCAGAAGGATGTGAGAGCAGTTGATGTCTGTGCACTGATAGTTATGCCTAATTAACATAAAAATGAGGTTTTCCTAATCACCTGCAAGAGGAAACCTGCTTGCAGAACAAGCTACTAGGGAAAAAAAAATAAATTACTCCTCAGGGAGGCAGTTGTCAGAAATAAGGTGGAGGGTGGATGTGTTTATTTATACCCAGCAGCTCCAGGTAGGGGCTGCAGGTCCTGACACGCTGCCTGCTGTGGTTTCTGCAAGGAGTTTTCTCTTTCCTGTCCCCATTCCATGCTCAGCTCCAACCTCCTAGTGCTGGAGGTGTGTGCTGGGAATGATGGTTTGCAGTCTGTGCAGCAGTCCCTGCAAATTCCAGGGTATTTTTTAGGATGCAGCAGGCCAGGTCAGCTCATCTCAGCCGTATCAAATTTCTTGTAGAAATCTGAAGCTTCACAGGAAAGAGGTGGGGAGAAGTGCCAGTGGGATTTAGGAGCATCACTCACTTGTGATTTCTGGTCTCTAGGCAAACTCTGTGTTTCCAAAACGCACTTCAAGGATCAGCCTGCACATCAGCAAGTCCCAAAATGTGAGAGAAATCTTTAAAGAGCTCAGAAGCACTGCAGGTGGTGGTGGCTTTGACCAAAACTGCAAATCTGAGTGGGGAAAAAACCACTTGGCCAATCAAAGCAGAATCCACCAGGATGAAGCAGTGCAGAGCTGGGATGACTCCTGACCCATCACCTCCTGTCTCATCTCATGAAGTTTGGTCACAAATGCACGTGCCTGGGGAGGAGATGAAGTTGTGGCACTTTTTGGAGGAGCCATCCTTGAGGGAGAGGCTGTGGGACCATGGACAGCCAGTGCTGGAGGGAACCCCTGGAGGGGAGCAGCAGCACCTCGGTGATAAATGAAGTTTCAAGTTACTGCTTGAACAAACACCAGAGGAAGGAGCCAACCACAATTACTGACTTATCTCGCAGGAAAGACATTTCAGTTATTGTGGGTAGCACTGAAAACAACAGCTCGGTGACGGGCGCTGCTGGAACCGGGGCAGGAAACCACACGTGTCGAGCTCTGCAAATCCACAGGGCACGTCAGCATGGCTCCCACCTCCCAAAAACTGCTGGCAACACAGCTGGAGGAACATATGGATGGTGCAGAGGTTGTGGATGGCTTTGGATGGGCTTTGCTGAAACAGGATCTGTGGTTTTAGTGCTCCCCCTCTCAAAAGCGCAGCACTCGGCACCGCGGAGGTGTCACGGGACTGTCCCCTCCACACCCCGATGGTTTCTGTCCTTCTGAGCAGCTCTGCAGTGCTCTGTACACTCAAATACAGCTCCACACAATGCCACGGATCCATCACACACTGAGCACCTTGCTCTGATTGCTTTCAACACTCACTGATGCTATTCCCAACCCAGGACCTCACAAATGGAGGGACCATTGATGCTCCACCTATCCCACAGCTCACACCTGCCCCTGATGCTCTGGGGGCAGAAGTTCCCCCAGTTTTCTCCATCAAAACCAATTTTTCAGATAATAAATACATTTCACGAAGTATAGCAGATGAACATCCCAATATATTTGCCTCGACCTTTTCTACTCTCTACAAAAAGGATGAAAGATAATTACAAGCCAATTTTTTAATGCCATCAGATTTAGTCAAATTTAGTCAGGACACCAGATTTAGCATGAATATAAAATTTAGAATTAAACAAAAAACTTGATTTTGTATGTGAAACCTGAACCCAAAATTCCAGTAATTCTTTCCTCACTCTTTCTATTCCTATGAAACACCATAATTTTAAATATTGGATAATTTCAGTCTGCAGCTTCAAGGTTTCTCCAAAACACCAGCTCTTTTTGGAGACAGACTGATGTCACTGCAGCTCATTTGCTTAATTAGTGATTTACAGAAAGATCTCTCTAGGAGAAGGGGGAAACCCTTCAAATGAAAAGCTCCAAGTGCAGAATCAAGAGACCATCCCCAACGACTGCACATAATTTTGGGCCACACTGTACCAATCAGCAGCTGTGACTGATGCCATTACACTTCCTAAATATAAAAGTGAACCCTGCAAGAAGCCAAACACAACTCCCTGAGTTTTCCCTAACAGGAGGATGGATGTTGCTTTTACAAAATCGTGCTGGGATGAGAAGTCAGCGTGCAGAATAAACACACAAATCCCCCACGCTGTTGCACAGCCCTGAAGGAGTTTTCCCCTTATTTCAGCACTTTGTTTTTTATCACTGCAGCCTTCCTTCCCCCAAGCACTTGGCTTTTGCTGACCACTGCACACAAATCCTTCTCCAAAGGGGTGCTCGGGTACAGTGGAGCACGGGGAGAGGGTTTGCACAGATGTGCACGTTGCAAGAAACAATAATTCATGCAAATCCCTGCTCCAAGCAAATTCCACAGCAGTGCATCTTATCACAAGCCAAACAAAAAGCACGAATACACTGGAGAATGGTAAACCCCCGTTCAAAGAATTTGCTCTTGTTGCAGCTTGAATTTCCCCCTCTCCTTCCAACAACTCTCTGCTGCTGCTGCTGCCACCAAAAACCAAGCAGCCATGAACTGAACCCGTTAATCAGAAGTGAAAACCCAAACTGTGAGAGGAAGCAAAGCCTCTGTCACAGTAAATATTTGGGAGTCTCTGTGGTGACTCCTGAAGGGGTGAACACTCTCTTTGCTTCAGAAGGAGAGCAGACACCAGCAGTGACCATCTCACCCTCCTGATGAAGCCTCCAAGCACAACCTCCATGGCAAAAACAACCCAGCAAGGCAAAAATCCAGGTATTAAAGCAGCAGAAAAACGACTTATAAATCCATTGAACTATGCTCACATTTGTATTTTCTTGTCCAAGTTTGTACAACAGTTCACTGCTTTTAAATCCGGGATTTTCCTCTGTTTCATCAATCAAGAACTGAGCACTCTCTTGCCACATTTGGAGATATATCAGCTTTCCATAGAAGCTCAAGGAGATGAAAATTAAAGAATAAAATATATTTTTAGTTTGAGGTTTTTTTCCTTTTTTTTTTTTTTTTTTGAGAAGGCAAGTTAGAACCTGAATTCCAACCCAACCACTGGGTTTCAGCAGAACAAAAAAATCCCTGTGCTGAGTGCTCTCAAATAAGAGTCATGTCCCTTCCAACTCTGTACCAACAGAGACCTTATTATCCTTTGGGGGAGGAAGTCAGATTTTTTCCACTTAGTTACATTCCCAGGTAGTTCTTAAATAAGATTTCCCTTCCCTCTGTGTTTAAAGGGACACTTTAGCCCAAGTTACTGCTTGGCCATAGTGCCATCATTGTGTACTGAACCCCAAAATAGAGCAATGACTGTCAGGCTACTGGCCAGGACGATTTTATTTCAAGGACAGGACAAATGAGAAGATGCCAAAATTAACAGCACCTCTTCCTACCTTAATTATCATCGGTCAATCATCCACCTGCACGTCATTAGGAGCCCATAAAGGTTCTTCCAGTGCTGCCCCCTGGAAAAAAACCAAACAAACAAATAAAAAAAAAAGCTTTTAGAACCAAAGAGTTAAAATACAGCAACGTTTTAGGGAAACAACATTTTTACTGCTGCCAGCAAGGCAATTCCAGTTCATTTTTCCAGATGCAAAATGTAGTTTTTCAGTATTGCTCAAGCTACAGACACACTTGAAAAAAATGAAAATAACTTTTAAATACAGAAAGCAAAACTGTGAGTTTCCAGGGTTAAAAGTGCTTTTGGGAAGACGTTTCAGGAGGGAGTTACAGGGCAGTAGCAGCAGATACAGATGAAGGGACTCTGATATTCCCAGCTTGGCCTGATACATGCACTGTTGTTTGGGTAAAAACAAATGAAATTTAGGAGGGTCCAGAGCTAGAGGAAATAGATAATTTCTATTGCAGTGAGGGTACCACAAACACTCTGGGCTCCTGTGAGGGTGTATTTCCCCAGACAGAAGTAGTTTGGGCTTTGGGAAAAGCAGCTCTGTGTGTTCATTTACTCCCAGCCCAAGGGAAGGGGACAGAAAAGCACGTGCAGGTCACCAGGATTTCTGGTGGCCACATACCCATGGGACAGCCACCAGCAACCTCCCCAAGCCCAAACCTCTGTGGATACAGACTCTGGCTGTAGGATCAAGTGTGATCCTACAAGGCACAGGCTGGAGACCTGCAGGGATGTCTGTGATGTTCTCACACTCTTGCACAAATCACCTCCCTGCTCAGGTTTGGATTCCTGGCTCCACCAGCACAGCCACACCACAGAGGCTCAAGGTTCACTTGCCATGTCCTCACTGTTCCTGGCTGCTCCCCAGTTTTACACGACCAGCCAAGTTATCTCCACTCCCTGTATCTCAGTTCCCCATCCCAAAATATTTTTTACCCACACCAACTTTGAGGCAGCAGCAGGGCTCCTTGCAGGAGTCTGCAGAGCCAACCCCAAACTAATCCCATCTTCTGGGGCTGCTGCTATGAAGTACAGAATTAAGAGACCCGAGGCACTTCTAGATTTCGGGTTGAATACATTTAAACCAAATTAATATATTTTTTTTTTCTCCTATCGACATCTTTCCTGCCCAGCCTTGGGCAGGATGCGACCCAGCCATCTGCTCTGTCGGTGCCAGGAGCTGTGGAGCTCAGACATAATCCCTGGGTGATCTCCTCATTGTTTTTCATCCTGCTCAAGTGTTGACTCAAGCACTTGTTCAATCAGACAAGTCTCAGCACTGCAATCAGATGGGCTGATTTTCTACCTCCACAGAGAAGAAAAAATCTGATTTAGTCGAGTGTGATAGAACCAGGAGCTTCAAACAACGAGACCTGGAGATTATGTCTGCTCTGGAGCCTGCCAGAATTGCTGCTTAACCCAAGCAGACCACCAGCAAGTTCCATTGTGAGAGAAGCTGTGAGACAGAGCAGATTAAAAGACATTGGATCTGCCAGGAAGGAGAGCTGGGTTATTTTCCTGATACTTCTTTTTTAAGGGAACTGGAGAACAGCTGAGGCATCTGCTTTCTCTTGTCTCTGGCTCTACATGAGTGACCCCAGATGTGCCAGACTCCCTGGTATTCCCACACACCCCTTGAATTTTCTTCTTTATGATCCAACACCTCCCAGGAATGCTGCTGTCCTGGGGCAGAGGGGTCTGAGGGCTACAAGAATTCAGCTCAGCTTTCAGCCTGTGCTCTCCTCCCTGTGCAGCAGGGGTGAGCCCCTGCCATCCTTTGGTTAGCTTTGTGCATTTCAACAAAGCAATACATTTTATGGGACCGAGTCAGGAAGTTGGCAGAAGCAAATGAGCTGCCAATATTTTCATTGTCAATTTATTCCTTCATTCACAAGGCAGATTCCAAGCACAGCTTTGGATGGTGCTAAGTGCAAGAGAAGAACAGAAATATGGAATGGTTTGGGTTGGAAGGGACCTCAGGAGATGATCGAGTCCAGCGTTGCTGCCATGGGCAGAGACACCTTCCACTACCCGAGGTTGCTCCAAACCTGTCCAACCTGGCCTGGGACATTTCCAGGGATGGGAAGTCCACAAACTCTCTGGGTAACCTGTGCCAGGACCTCATCATCCTCACAGCCAAGAATTTCTTCCTAATATCCCATCTAAATCTACTCTCCTACAGTTTAAGCTCATTCCCCCTCATCCCATCACTCCGTGCTCTTGTCCAAAGTCCTTCTCCAGCTCTGTTTTAGCCTCTCTAGGTGCTGCAAGGTCTCCTCCTGTTCTCTAGCTCCCCTGCTGCTATCACCATGTGAGAATTCAAAGGGAACCAGCAATGAAGCCGAGTTTGTCCAAAGCTTGGAGCGAGGCTCACGCAGGGCACACTCACAGCTCCTCGCAAAACCAGGACAACATCCCCTGAAAAGAGGAGTGAACACAGGCAGATAACAAAAACTGCAAAGGCAGAATGAACACAGGAGAGCTCAAAAATGTCAATGGCACGTGTTGAGTGGGGTGTAGAGCCGGCTGTGCCTTCAGATGGCTGCAAAAAGGAGCAGAGGGGAATTGGGGATGTGTGACTTGCAGTGACTCACAGCCCTCATTCCTTGTGACAGGTACAGAGCACGGTGCAGGCACTCGAGTATGGCAGAGCAGGAACATCTCATGTTGTACACACTTACAGGAGTGTCTTACATCCACATCTGTTCTTAGAAATTACTCACTGGCCTCAGAAATCAGTTTCCGAGCAGAGAGGAAGCGCAGCTGCCCCGGATCAGGTGTGGCACAGAGCTGAGAGTGTCCCAAATTCAGCTCCTGTAGCCCCACACGATCCTTTCCACTCCTCTGCCTTTTCCCAACCCCACTGTGCCCCAATGTCAGCACTGTAATCCTCTTGCCACATAATCCTCCCAAAAAGCTGCATCCGGAGGATCTGGTGCCATCAGCTGAGTGTGGAAAGCCATCCCTGCAAGCCACTCAGGAATACAATAATAATTCATAATTATTATTTGTATACCATTTGTATGTGTTTGGATGAAAGCAATTTAACTTGCTGCTAGAGCACACCAATGGTAAGGAAGACACACCAGATTTCCATTCTCTACCACAAAAATTCAGTTTTCTAAGCCTGGCAGCACTGGGAAATCTAACACTGACCTGACGCAGGCATTTCTGACAATGCTGCTACACAAAGCTGCTTCAGAAAGAGATTCCAGTTATGAAAGAGACCACTGGACTCAGTGTCAAGTCTCTTCCAGGATGGTTAGAATCATGGAATATCCTGAGCTGGAAGGGACCCATCAGAATCACTGAGTCCAACTCCTGGCCCTGTGCAAAACATCCCAAGGATCCCACCCTGTGCCTGAGAGCATTGCCAAAAAACTTCTCAAACTCAGGCAGGGCTTGTGCTGTCACCAGCTTGTCCTGGTTTTGGCTGGGAGAGAGTTAATTTTTGGGACAGAGTTAATTTTCTTCCCAGTAGCTGGTAGAGAGTTTTGGATTTAGGATGGGAGTGATGGTTAGCTTTGTGCATTTCAACAAAGCAATAGATTTTATGGGACCGAGTCAGGAAGTTGGCATAAGCAAATGTGCTGTCAATATTTTCATGGTCAATTTATTCCTTCATTCACAAAGCTGACAGATTGCAAACACAGCTTTGGATGATGCTAAGTGCAGGAAAATCACAGAATTTCACAGGTGATGGAGACCATGTCAGATTAAGTTGGAACAAGAAGATCTTTAAGGTCCCTTCCAACCCAAACCAGTTTGTGATTCTGTGAAAAAAATTCACCTATTTATTTTATTAAAATGAGAAATACAAGGTTACATTCTGAGAGGGTTTTTTTTGGAAGAACCCTGCTGAGAAAGTGCTCTGGGAATTCAGATGACGACAGCAGTTCTGTTAATCTGGAATATTAATGGCATAAAACATTACACACACAAATGCTCAAGATCAGGGGTTGGCAAAGGTGGCCTACAGTTCCAGGAGTCCTCCATCCATTATTAAAATAATTAAAATAAAGGAAGGCAGGTATTAGTTGGCTAGACAGCCCCAAATCCCACCGCCTGTTAATCCACCTGAAACCCAAGTGTATCAAGGCAAATTAAAGCTGCCTTTAATCCATGCAAATCTCAGCCCAGGAATCCTTTATTCTCTTACCTCCTGCCACGAGTTTAGCCCTGCCCTGCACCCCATTCATGCTGCCAGAGCAAAACAACACAAACCTCCATATTTTAGTAATAGAAAGAAAGAATTTTGGACCTTTCACACATTTTGGGACGGATGCAGTTTTGTGCTTCATTGGCTGGGTGAGACCAAACCCTGTTCCACCTGTGCTTGCTTTAATCATATGTATCGACACACATAAATTAGGGCAATTTGTGCATAAATTAGGCAGCATCATTATGCTAATTGGGCTGGTATGATTGTGCTGAGAGTGTTTGCAATCTGCCACAGTCCTCTGGGACAGCGCTGCCAGGGAGCTGCTGCCTCTGAAAAGGCTGGAGCTCCTCTGGGATCCCTGGGGCAGGCACAGCCCCACAGTGACCCAAACCAAGCCTGAATAACTGAGGAGAAGGGGTGAGGAGAGCTGGTGTGATCTGTTTCCTTTGGAATGCTGGTTCCTGTTCTCTGGTTCCCAAATATCACATCCCAAGCTCCCCCTGATGCACAAAACAGGTTGAGTTATAGGTGGCTGCAGAGAGAGGCTGCTGGAAAAACAATCCCCTGAGGTGTGTGAAAACCAAATAAAGAGCAGGAGACCCAAAGCCCTTGCACTTTGCTCTACCAAATTTATGTGAAGAAACAAGTCACCCTCACAAAAACCAGAGCCACTCCACTGTACCTCTGCCAATTCCACCTGAACTGCATCAGAGGTAGGAATGATTGCTGGGATCAGGGAGGCATCATAAGAGTAACCTGATGATCCCTGTCCTAAAAGAACAAAATAACCCTCAATCTTTCCAGTTGAATGAGGAAGGATAAAGGAGGAACAAATAAACTACAGTGGCTGCTTCTCCTTCTGGAATTGTAGAATATCCACAGCTGGGGGG